TTGAGTAATTAATTATTAAAAATATATAAACTATATTCTTAAGTATTACTTTAGAAACTAAATTTATAATAAATTTTTAAAATTGTTAAACGTTTATAAGACAAAACAAGTAAGAAATTATAGTCGGGCGAGGCCGACCTTATAATACCCTATACCAGTTTTAAAAATATAAGATGTGATTTAGTTTTCATAATACAGCATTTAAGTGGAATTGTAACTTAAGCCATTTATTGTTGAATACAATTGTGGACATTTAAGTTATGTTTTGAAGGGGGCTTTGTATAGGGGCTTGGGTCAAATGTGGCGATATAATTATAAAATTCATGAGGTTCATCAAGGCTAGTATAGAACTTAGTTTTGGAGCTTTTTGTCGAGATACCAGTATATTAAACATAATCATGAACTTAAAAGCCCTATTCGGTGGGTTCGGTTGTATGGTTAAGCATTTTTAATAGGCTTTGTCCCTGGTACAATAGAAGATCATGTGCCAAATTTTATTGAATTATTTTCAAAATTGTGACCTGTAGTTAGATTACAAGGTTTACAAGCCCTTTTCGGGGTTCAGTTGCATGGGGGTTTGGTGAAATAATAGACCGATTTTAACCATTTTTAAGAAGCTACGTCCATGGGATAAAAGAATATCAGGTACCAAATTTCATTGAATTATCTTCAAAATTGCGACTTGTAGTTTGATTACGATGTTTACATGGATGGACGGACATAGCTAAATCGACTCAAAAAATGATTCTAATCCGATTGGACCAATATTATTGTGCGTTACAAACATCAGCACAAAACCACACTAAAGTGGTGTGGGGTATAAATAGGGAAAATTGGAAAAAAAATAATATTAGTTATTAAAAAACTAGATCTAGTACCAGATTCTTAAAAAGGATCAATGGAACAAATGAATTCGCCTTTACTTCTAGAACTAGGAGTTTACAAGGAATCAGTTCTTTGGCACTACTTAGTTATACATTGGTACTACACTAGTTCAATTGAACACATACTACTTCCGAAACCATTTCGGTTCATAATAGGTCAAGCCTCCATAGAAAGGCCTCTTTCATTTATAAATTAAATTTTTAGTATAAATTAATGCAGAGTACAATTCATAATTTTACTAAGGCCCAACAAAGGACCCCGATTCCGAAAATTTTCATAAATTTACTATCAATATTGAAAACAAGAGCAATTTTCTTAATTTGTGAGCGTAAAGATATTTTCTGAGTGGGGCCTTATATTCGGACAGGTTGCCAATGGTTGAAATTTTCCATAAATATTTGGTTTTGTTTGGCAATGAAATGGGAGTATATCAGTCAAAGGTTTCCATCTCAGATTTAAAACGGTGTGACTCCAAACGCATTAAATTCCTTTTATACATAGAACAATACTGGTTATTGTCAATAATTCGTTTAAAAGTTATAGTATTAAGATAAAATTGAAAAAAAAAAAATTGAGTTCCCTCTTCCTAAAGTCATAATAAATGATTAAATCATAATATTAAATTGCAAAGGATCGATGCATAAGTCCATATCTACGACTCATGATTTATTAGCCATATAGGTATGTGCTGATACTTAACTCTCTTACTTAATTTTTGTACTTCATAACTTTGACTTCAAAATCCTATTTTATTTATTTAAAAATAGGCCATCGAAACAGCTTTTTAAAACTTCACTTATGTTATTAATTTATTTTAACTTACTTTTAACTCTTTATTTTTCTTTATTTATTTTAAAATCCTAAATTTGCTTTATTTAAAACCTTTAGCAACTACTTTTTTTTTATTTCCTTTTGAACTTTCGCCAAAAAATACATCAAAACACTTTTACACACTCATACTTTTAAACACTTTTACTTTATTTAAAAACAGGCCACAGTTGGAGCTTTTACTTTGCATAACATTTATTTACTCTTAATTTTAACTCATGCTCTCTTTTCAATTACTATATTACGCACCTCCCCCTGCGTAATGCATTTACACAAACTTTCTTATTAACTATCACGATACAACAAAACACTTTTTGCGAAACTACTAGAACGAAGGATACATACTATTTTTTCTTCACGACTGCGCTGCCGGCAGCAAATTTTTTTCTTAACAACTTGTTTTCTTAACAAATTTTCTATTAATTAACGCGATATATTAATAAAATTTAACATTTTCTCAAAGAACTTTTAATGCTCTACACATGGTATAAAAATATTTTTTAATCATGGCTCTACATTTGAATTTACTTTTTATAATAATTTAAAAACTTCTCTATTACTAAATAATATTTTTTTATAATCACAGTAACGGAAGACAAACGTATTGTTAAGACATCACACTAAGAACTGATTAACAAACGAGAAACGGAAATAATAGTTTAGTGGAGTTATGACAGAACAGAAAGAGACAGAGTGTATGAGCAAATAGCTTAGCAATAGGCTTAAATACTTTTATTTTTACAGGCTAGAGAGAGTAAAATTTATTAGAATAATTGCAATAAACATGACCAAAATTATGGTGTAATTATTTGAGAGAGGAAAAAAAGGAATTGCATTGAAAATAGAACTGTTGGTATTGCTTAAGTATGATTATACAAGAACAACAATAAGGAATGCCAGGAGCATTCATACAAATGTATGCGAGCAGCAGGATCATAATTTTTTTAATTTTTTTATACACCATGCATATGTATAAGAATTTTGAACACAACAAGGCTTTTTGTACAGGGTTGCTGTAGGGTTCTATAGTTGAAACGAAAAGTCGACTTTTCGACTTTTTGCATTTAGTTAAAAGTCGACTTTTCGACCTTTCGACTTTTTCCATTTTATGAAAAGTCGATTTTTCGACTTTTCGACCTTTTTCATTTATTTAAAAGTCGACTTTTAGACTTTTCGACTTTAAGTATTTTATAAATAGTCGACTTTTCGACTTTTTCCGACTTTTTTCGACTTTTCGACTTTTTCCGACTTTTCGACTTTTTTCGACTTTTCAACTTTTTCGACTTTTCGACTTTTTGATTTTTTACGACTTTTTGACTATTTTCGATTTATTTCGACTTTTTTTCGACTATTTTCGACTATTTTTTTACTTTTTTCGAGTTTTTCCGACTATTTTAGAGTTTTTGACCTCTTTTCCACTTTTTTAAAATTTTCGACTCTTTTCGACTTTTTTCGACTTTTTCCGACTTTTCGACTTTCTTCGACTTTCTTCGACTTTTTTCAACTTATCGACTTTTTTCGACTATTTTCGACTTTCCGATTTTTTGACTTTCCGATTTTTGACTTTTCGACTTTTATTTACAAAGTCGACTTTTTTCATAGACGATAGTCGAGTTATCGACTTTTGTGGAACAAAATAGTCGACTTCGACTTTTCGACTTTTTTCGACAAAAAATCGATTGTTCGATTATTCGAAAGTAGATTTATAGAACCCTTGGTTGCTGTAGGGAATGTGCTAATTGCAAGCATACAAATATAGCAGGGATGGGTAATTGTGAGTATAGAGTGTAATAATAACTAACTAACTAACTAACTAACTAACTAACTAACTAACTAACTAACTAACTAACTAACTAACTAACTAACTAACTAACTAACTAACTAACTAACTAACTAACTAACAACTAACTAACTAACTAACTAACTAACTAACTACTAACTAACTAACTAACTAACTAACTAAACTAACTAACTAACTAACTAACTAACTAACTAACTAACTAACTAACTAACTAACTAACTAACTAACTAACTAACTAACTAACTAACTAACTAACTAACTAACTAACTAACCAACTAACAAACTAACTAACTAACTAACTAACTAACTAACCAACTAACTAACTAACTAACTAACTAAACTAACTAACTAACTAACTAACTACTAACTAACTAACTAACTAACTAACTACGAACTAACTAACTAACTAACTAACTAACTAACTAACTAACTTAACTAACTAACTAACTAACTAACTAACTACTAACTAACTAACTAACTAACTAACTACTAACTACTAACTAACTAACTAACTAACTAACTAACTAACTACTAACTAACTAACTAACTAACTAACTAACTAACTAACTAACTAACTAACTAACTAACTAACTAACTAACTACTAACTAACTAACTAACTAACTAACTAACTAACTAACTAACTAACTAACTAACTACTAACTAACTAACTAACTACTAACTAACTAACTACTAACTAACTAACTAACTAACTACTAACTAACTAACTAACTAACTAACTACTAACTAACTACTAACTAACTAACTACTAACTAACTAAACTAACTAACTAACTAACTAACTAACTAACTAACTAACTAACTAACTAACTACTAACTAACTAACTAACTAACTAACTAACTAACTAACTACTAACTAACTAACTAACTACTAACTAACTAACTAACTAACTACTAACTAACTAACTAACTAACTACTAACTAACTAACTAACTAACTAACTAACTACTAACTAACTAACTAACTAACTAACTAACTAACTAACTAACTAACTAACTAACTAACTAACTAACTAACTAACTAACTAACTAACTAACTAACTACTACTAACTAACTAACTAACTAACTACACTAACTAACTAACTAAACTAACTAACTAACTAACTAACTAACTACTACTAACTAACTAACTAACTACTAACTAACTAATACCTAACTAACTAACTACTAACTAACTAACTAACTAACTACTACTACTAACTAACTAACTAACTAACTACTACTAACTAACTAACTAACTAACTAACTAACTAACTACTACTAACTAACTAACTAACTACTAACTAACTACTACACTAACTAACTAACTAACTAACTAACTAACTAACTAACTAACTAACTAACTAACTAACTAACTACCTAACTAACTACTACTAACTAACGCACTAACTACTAACTAACTAACTAACTAACTAACTAACTAACTAACTAACTAACTAACTAACTAACTACTAACTAACTAACTAAC